GAAGCGTTCAATTGTATTGCCCCTCAAATGCATTCCCCATTCAGGGACGGCTCTGCGCATCCGATGCCACGCTGGATACAGATCGTATTCGTAGAAACATTGCCGAAGTACCTAGGAATCAAAAAAGCTGAGGGAGAGGAAGTTAGCGATCGCGGAAGTATCGCAACGGGTTCGGGTCCGCTAGTGCAGTTAGGTATCGTTGTAGAAGTCTGACAAACAGTGTTCATTAAGACGTTGGTCAACTGGTGGACTCGCGTCGTCCTTCTCCCTACTTCCTGACTGTGCGAGGTAGCACGGACATTGAAGAGAAGGATATCACCAGAGGGGAGCTGAATAAAGTGCGAGTACGATTTTACCCGTATTTCCTACGATACATGCTGTCTTTGTAGATGAGATTGTCGGAGTTGGCTCATTTGCGCGGACTGCATCCGGATTTAATCAGAAGAATGGTCGACAACGTGTCATTCATTGCTAATCACTTTCGGGCTATGAAGAAGGAAGATAAGGTGAACTGCAATGAATGGCATTGCTTCAATAGGTTGTTGCAGATAAAAGAAAAAGCGGCGATTGCTTTTTCTAGGGGGCCTGTCGCACTTCGCCCACAAGCGCCGAAAAGAGCCCAAAAGTGCCAGAACGTACCCTCCACCATAGCAATTTTTGGCTTTGAAGCGTGGTTTGCAAAACATTGTTCATATGTGATGTAAGCGATTTATAAACATGTCCGATTCTTTTTCACCCAACTTAAGATATGCACCTGAACGCTGAAAAGTCAAAGTGCTAAAGAGACAGAAGACAGATGCCTTATGTTGTATTGTGCATAGTTGTTTTTCTAGCTTGTCTTTACGACTAAACAGTTTTGGATTTTCTGCTGCGAAAGTGAAGTTACTCTAAGTGCTCTGACGTCGTCAAAAAGCTTTTTATATCCGATTTCCGAGAAATCGCGAGTTGATCTTATCGAACTTCAGACTCAAACTCCATCGTTAAGAGTTGTGCACGAGAATGGAAGCGTTCTGACGTTTATGGGTTCTTTCTAGCTCTTTTCGGCGCTTTAGGTCGAAGTACGCAGGTCTCTAACTGCGCTTTTAAAAGCACAAACTGTAGACCGTCCCATTATTACCTTTTTCTAATTTGCTGATACAAAAGAGCATCAGTACGAATAATCGACTACCTTTCCCAGATATCTTCCGATTGGTCTTACGTAGCCAACGTCATCGACAGGCTGGTTCTCATAATTTTTACGTTGGTCAATCTAGCTGGAACCATACTCATTATCCAGAACTCTCCCATGTTGTTTGATCACACGCAACCTATGAAAATTGTAAGTATCCTTAGTGGAGCTTCAGGACTTTCCCATTGTAACTGCTGTCTTTCTAGGGTGCTGCAACGAGGCCACTGTCCGGTGATACTTTCGAAAGTGCATTCGATGCCAATTTTACACAGGAGAGTTGGTGGAAGAACTCCGGAGGGCTTTGATGCTCATCATTCGATAAAGGATGATCAGTCGATGTCTATGCAGATCTACCTCAGTTCAGAAAATAAAGGGTTTCAAAGCGCTACTGTAATTTGCAAGCACTTTAGAACTCTGCCATGTTCGCGAATGACCAAATAAGTTGGAACTATGGCTGAAACCTAGGTATATCATGAGAAAGCGGGAATTTCTGCAGAGATTGTGAGTGAGTGAGCAATACGCACAAGAGGTTGGCGTTGGGACGCGATATCTAACAAAGGTTCTATGAAAAAATAGAAGTCAAAAAAGAGAGGGGAGGCAATGTTGTGAAACTGTCTTCTCTCCTAAGAATAGATTTTTGACCAAAGAACTAGCCCATGAAACATTGGTGTGTGTCCTTGGAATGGGGCTAAGGAAAAAGAATATGAAGCTATAAAAACTTATGTGAATGAAGCGCGTGCTTAACTTTTACCCAAATTAGGGTGCTAATAAAGTGAAAACTGAGAGGCTCTCAACGGAAACATTACAGAAGCAGCAGCGCAATACAATATGACATTTGAATTGGCA